GGTAAAACATGTGATAAAGGTTTGTAATTATTATAATCATTGGAAATAACAAATAACTTTCTTGAAATTCTACTAACGACTGTGTTTTCTAATAAGTTTGCAAGTACNCCAGAACAATGGCTTTTTAAAAACGTTTACAATTTTCTAAAATTATAACACATTTAATTTGGTTTTAATGTGAGTTTTGTGCTTTATATTCCATTAGCAATAAATCCTTGTGACAGTCATCCTTGTCATAATGGTGGAACTTGTTTACCTACAACTAGAGGGAGGTTTAGATGTGACTGTCCTAGAGGTTTCAAGGGTAAAACATGTGATAAAGGTTTGTAATTATTATAATCATTGGAAATAACAAATAATTTTCTTCAAATCCCACTAGGAACTGTGTTTTTAATGATTTTGCAAAGAACTCAAGAACAATGGCTTTTTAAAAACGTTTACAATTTTCTAAAACTATAAGAGATTTACCTTCGTCTTAATGAGAGTTTTGTTCTTTATCTTCCATTAGAAATAAATCCTTGTGACAGTCATCCTTGTCATAATGGTGGAACTTGTTGTCCTACAACTGGAGGGAAGTTTAGCTGTGACTGTCCTAGAGGTTTCAAGGGTAAAACATGTGATATAGGTTTGTTATAATTATTATCATTGGAAATAACAAAAAACTTTCTTGAATTCTACTAACGACTGTTTTCTAATAAGTTTGCAAGTACTCGAGAAAAATGGCTTTTTAAAAACCTTTACAATTTTCTAAAATTATAAGAGATTTAATTTGGTTTTAATGTGAGTTTTGCGCTTTATATTCCATTAGTAATAAATCCTTGTGACAGTAATCCTTGTCATAATGGTGGAACTTGTTATCCAACAACTGGAGGGAAGTTTAGATGTGACTGTCCTAGAGGTTTCAAGGGTAAAACATGTGATATAGGTTGGTAATTATTATAATCATTGGAAATAACAAATAATTTTCTTCAAATCCCACTAGGAACTGTATTTTTAATGATTTTGCAAAGAACTCAAGAACAATGGCTTTTTAAAAACGTTTACAATTTTCTAAAACTATAAGAGATTTACCTTCGTCTTAATGTGAGTTTCGTGCTTTATCTTCCATTAGAAATAAATCCTTGTGACAGTCATCCTTGTCATAATGGTGGAACTTGTTGTCCTACAACTGGAGGGAAGTTTAGCTGTGACTGTCCTAGAGGTTTCAAGGGTAAAACATGTGATATAGGTTTGTTATGATTATTATCATTGAAAATAACAAAAAACTTTCATGAAATTCTACTAACGACTGTGTTTTCTAATAAGTTTGCAAGTACTCGAGAACAATGGCTTTTTAGAAACGTTTACAATTTTCTAAAATTATAACACATTTAATTTGGTTTTAATGTGAGTTTTGTGCTTTATATTCCATTAGCAATAAATCCTTGTGACAGTCATCCTTGTCATAATGGTGGAACTTGTTTACCTACAACTAGAGGGAGGTTTAGATGTGACTGTCCTAGAGGTTTCAAGGGTAAAACATGTGATAAAGGTTTGTAATTATTATAATCATTGGAAATAACAAATAATTTTCTTCAAATCCCACTAGGAACTGTGTTTTTAATGATTTTGCAAAGAACTCAAGAACAATGGCTTTTTAAAAACGTTTACAATTTTCTAAAACTATAAGAGATTTACCTTCGTCTTAATGAGAGTTTTGTTCTTTATCTTCCATTAGAAATAAATCCTTGTGACAGTCATCCTTGTCATAATGGTGGAACTTGTTGTCCTACAACTGGAGGGAAGTTTAGCTGTGACTGTCCTAGAGGTTTCAAGGGTAAAACATGTGATATAGGTTTGTTATAATTATTATCATTGGAAATAACAAAAAACTTTCTTGAAATTCTACTAACGACTGTTTTCTAATAAGTTTGCAAGTACTCGAGAAAAATGGCTTTTTAAAAACCTTTACAATTTTCTAAAATTATAAAAGATTTAATTTGGTTTTAATGTGACTTTTGTGCTTTATATTCCATTAGAAATAAATCCTTGTGACAGTCATCCTTGTCATAATGGTGGAACTTGTTGTCCTACAACTGGAGGGAAGTTTAGCTGTGACTGTCCTAGAGGTTTCAAGGGTAAAACATGTGATATAGGTTTGTAATTATTATTAT